TAGTAGTTGGCCCTGGAGTTGTTGTAGGTGGTTTGGTTGTTTGGGTCGTGGACTGTGTGGTAGTAGTTGGCCCTGGAGTTGTTGTCGGTGGTTTGGTTGTTGGGGTCGTAGATTTTGTGGTCGTAGATGTAGTAGGAGGTTCTGTTGTAGATATTGCTGTTGTCTCTTTTGTACTTGAAAGTGTAGTTGATGGAGTTGTTTCACAACATACTCTGATCTCATAGTCGCGACACTTTCTTGGAGGTCTCAACTGCTCCTCTTGTTTGCATATTAAACCAATTCCCACATCACAAGTGACAACTTGTTCCGATTGACTCCGATAGTCATCGAAGTCCATGTCAGGATAAAGTTTTGCTCTACAGTCAATTTCTTCAGGTCTTTTGCAAATTTCTTTTCCACTATTTGTTATATTCTCATATGTTTCCCAGTCACTTTTGTCTGTTGTTGGGTCATGCACATTGTACCATTCTGACCACTCACACTTACTGCCAGATGTGGTTGTGGTTGGCCCCATAGTTGTCGTAGGTGGTTCGGTTGTTGGGGTTGTAGACTTTGTGGTTGTAGATGGACCTGGAGTTGTCGTAGATGGTTTGGTTGTTGGGGTAGTGGACTGTGTGGTAGTTGTTGGCCCTCGAGTTGTTGTAGGTGAAGTGGTGAAAATTGTTGTTGATGAAGTTGACGGTGGGACAGTTGAAGTGACGCAGGTTTCATTTTCAATTTTCACTGTTGCATTGATGCAAATTGCATAGTAGCACTTTCCCAAATTATCAGTCACATTGTAAATGACATCATTTTCTTCATATCTGGTCCCATTGTAAAAGCAACCTTCACATTCCTGCACACAAATCTGGTTGTGCTCATCATATATGGGCTTATCTTCTGGGCATACAGGGTAACAGCCTATAAAAATCACAAAATAAAATATCATAATATTATAAATGGAAAATCTTTGTATTTAAGTTGCTCTTATAATGAAGACTGAAGCCATGAATTGAAGTTGTATTGTTATTTTGTCACATTAAGTAAGCCATGTTAATCAGAGGTATGTTCACTGTGAGAAAACAGCTTACCTTCCAGATTTGGTATAGGGTTA